CGCAAGTCCCATAATCTAGCCACAGAATCCATTCCTGCACTTAAAAGAATATTTCCTGTTCGACTAAATGATACACTCGTTACAGGTACAGTTGAGTGAGCATTATTTATCTTGGCCACCACACGGCTACTGACACCATCGTATAAAATAATGGAACCATCCAAACTGCATGTAGCAAACAATCTACCATCTGCGGAGAAGTTTACATCACAGAGAGCAGCTGTATGACCCATTTCACCTCCTCTTCTAAATCCACCACCTCCTGATGACATTGTATTCCTGTTTGAAGTTATCATATTTGTTGAACCAATATGGATTGCATCACCTGCAGTGGCAGGAGTCATTAACTTTTCCGTTCGAAGATTTAAAAGTCGAGGTGCTGGATGATCCGTAGCATATAAAATATATTCACCAGAAGGATGAAATACACCAGAACGAATAGGAAACGTATCATGTAGTTTATGAACGATCTTATTATCTGGTTGACTGTAATCTCGAACATACAAATCTCCTTCACGTCCACCAGTCAGTAAAAGTGGTTGAGATGGATGAAAATGCATCGCTTCCACTGATTGTGTATGTTCATGAAACCGTCGAGCTTCCGCGAGTTCTGTAATTTTATTACTTGCATTCCGTACTCCCACTGTCGTACTGTTATTACTCCCATCAATCCCTCGAAATTGATTTTCCTGCCGCACCTCTTCCAATGCCATAAGATCTTCCATTGTTTTTAATGAAAAGACCACACACAACCCATTCGTCCCCCCACAAGCGACCAAAGTCCCATCGGGGGAAACACACACACGCCGCACCACACCTCCCAGTGAAGATGTTGTAAATCGTTCACGCATTCGATACGCCGCCTGTCCCACTGTGGAGCTCTCAGAGAGATGAAGGGGTATATACAAGCGGGAGGCACTGAGATAACGCTCCACCACCTCACTCTGCATAAAGTTCTGCATATCCATTATACAACTCGCCTCATCTGCCAAACCACGAGCCACAAGTCGGGAGAGGCGATGGCCATCTTCTTGTAATCTCGGCACCACAACTCCCGTCGCATCTGCCACTGCGGCGGCGGCGGCCAAATACCCATCGTGATGTAATTGGCGAATCATCATTTGATAAAGATGACGTGAGAAGTTCTGCTTTAAACAGGCTACTCGTGGACGTTTTCTTGAACTCATGTTACTGTGATCCACCGTATTTGGAGGAGGCTGCGCCAAAGATTTATCATTGGGTGTGCTCTTCGTATTCGCCTCAGTAGACATCGTTTCCTATCTCCCTCACTACCTAGAAAAAAAAATAAACAAGAAAACAAAATAAGATCAACAACAAGAAGAGAAAATAGTCCCACACAAAAAACCATGTTTACAGTACCAATCATCAGTACGACTCCAGAGAAAAAAGAGAATGCACACACCCCACTGTACTGCGGAGGACCCCCAACCTGAAATCAAAGAAGCAAAAAAATTTAAAAACAGAATCAGCTGCCACAGCACATACAGTACTACAAAAGTTCATCCTTCCATAGTCACGTATAGGAAATTATCAATATATCTATATGTATTTATTTATTTATATATTTGCTTTTACTTTCCCTCTTTGGACAAAACAATCCAAACAAACGCAAATCAAACAAAAAGAAATTAACAAATAACCCATGTTTTACAATAAACGGCCAAATACAACTACTATCAATGTAAAACGTTGTACACTTAATTATGAATATATGTATAAAAGTGCATCTGTTATATATATTTTTTCTCTCATTGCACAAGGCAAGCTGTCATTGGTGGAAAGAAAAGCACACAGTGGCCCACAAAAACATACACACACTGAAACAGCAATAATTGTAGTATAATCACAAAACAGTAAAATAAAGCAAAAAAAATCCCAACAGTAAAAGATTAGTTAGACTGTAGGGATTGTATGCAAAAAAAGAGAAAACAAAACAAAGGATGACCTGAGTCACATCACCACACCATCACAATAATCAGCACACAAGAATACAGGCCAGTGTAACCACAATCAGTAGTGGCACACGCACCCACACAGAACTGCTGATACTGCTGCTGCTGCTGCTGTCTGCATCACTCTTTACATTTAGCTCAGCATTAGTTGCAGTGCGGGATTTCACAGGACTCCTTCAAGTTGAAGTGTATTCCTCATCCTCATCGTCGTAATCACCATCAAGATCCTCAAGATCATAATCTTCCTCATCGCCCCCGTTCCCAAAATCTTCAAGACGTCTCACATCCGCAGAAATAGCACGATGAACAAGAGAAGGAACACCAACAGTTGAGGTTTTAAAAAAGGGGATCAGAATCTTTAGGACTATCAGCACATACTAACCCACAAACACAACAGAGTGCAAGAGTTAGTAAACAGAGCAGGTATCACCTCAACAAAACAGCCTTTGTCATTGATGTGTTTTACTTCAATAGACTGAAGCAAGAAATAAAAAGGAAGAGAAGAAAAAATTGAGATAGAAACAAACAAACATACACCAGTACAACAAATACTCACAGTGGGATAAAGAGAGAGAAACAGCAACTGCACAGTAAATCAACAAAAAAGAAATATTCTGCTTGAATTATAATATGTACCCATTAATAGAAAAAGAAAAAAAAGAACACCTCACAATACCCAAATAAGAGAGAGAGCCAAGAACACACACAATACCCCACGGCTCTAGTTTACGTATTAAATTACTGCACACACACATCTGTGTGTACTAGCAAGAGATGTATACCGTCAGTAAGCAGAACAGCCCAGTTTTCTGCAAACACACAACGGGAAAAGCAAGTAATGGAATTATTAGAAAAAGAACACACACATAAAAGTAAAAGAAAAGATATTCGAATTAAAAGATAAAGCTGTTAACCGGATTATTAGTTCATTCATTCACCCATGGGGGATGTACGCAATTATGATTATGTTAGTATTATCATTATTATTATTATTTGCCCTCAGATGATTCCCACCGTTCAGTACACGGTAGCGGAGAACAACACAGCCACAATCAGCAGCGGTGCCGCAGTTTGTCTCCACAGAGGACTGACACTGCCGTCAACATTAGCCTTCTTCTGTACAGCGGAGGCAACAGTGTTGCTGCTGATATCTGCGATGGATACAGGAGATGGAATGGTATTGTTTGTATTTGGCGCTTCTGTAAGAGTGTTCTCGGTACTCGGCGGAGTAGGGGAAGTGGTGTCTTGTGATTCTGATGCGGCAGTCGCATCAACAGTTGCTGAAGGTTGCTGCTTGGGATTAGAGGTGTCCGTTGCACTGTTATCCCCCGTGTTATTCGACACTCCTTTGTCACTTTGTAGTGCTTCAGTAGACTCTTGAGTTGGGCCTTGTGAACGTTCTACCGAGAGAGCATCTTCATTAGGT